GCATGCACAGGCTCTATGAGACGTGAGGAGTGTTTCTGTGTAGTTTGAAGTTTATCCGACAGGTGGCGCAGTATTTAATTTTTTTGTGTTTTTGCAACGTAACTAAAAAACTACTACGCTGATTTTTACCAAACTTTATGTATATGCTCCCTGGGGCATGAGGAGTGTTTCTGTTTAATTTTAAGTTCATCCGATAGATGTCGCGCTATATATTTTGTTGCGTTTTGCCCGATTAGAGATTGGGTAATTATCGACGTTAAGTATTCCGACATCAATTCATACATAACCTGTTTTCGTGAAAAGCCCCGTGGGAGTGAAACGAAAAACAATAACTTATCAAATTGAAGTAAAATTAATTTAAATCTCTATATACATAAAAATTACGTGTATGTTCGTGATCAAAACTTGAACATGTTCTGAAAAATGTTTGGTTTAATAAGTTCAACCATTGATAAACTAAAATACTACACATATTGACATAACTAAATATTTGAGTTAAATTTTTTTTTATATTTTCCATAATTGCGTTAATTTTTACAAAACCTATATTGATGCACCTTTTATTGAAAGAACATTTTGAAAAAAATCCACGAAAATGGTGCAAAATATATTTTGAAATATATTAGAATTTCCACACATTTTATATCGAACCTTTATAGTTTCATCTCTTCGTAGCCTTTTTTTACATATTTTGGGCAAAAATGGGCAACGTATATCTTTAAGTAATTGCTAATTATGGAAAATTCTCACAATATGTTAATTTTCTTGCCTTGAAAAAAAATATTGTATATGAAAATAAATTTATATTTATATTCATTAGAGTTAAATCTAATAATAAGAAATCGAAAGAGAGAGTAAGATTAATCGCTATCAATATTTGCTCATGTTTGTTTTGTTTTGTTACAACTTTCCAAATACTTTAGGATGCTTAAAAGCGCACAATAATGTAACAAATTGTTTTGAAGTTATAAATACAAAATTGCATCAATTTAGGTTATTCCACCAAACATTTTTCAGGAGGTCAAGTTTTGATCTAACTACTCTCACCTCAAAAGATAATTTAGTATGGATGGCGTAATTACTATTCCTATTTCGAGCACATGCGATAAGTCCTTTAAATCATTAAAATTGGTGCAGACGTTCTCGAGTTATAAAAGGTGTAAGTAACACAACATTCGATTACATCAATCACCGATTTTTTATGTTTTTCTCCAAATTTTCGTTGGCAAAACTCTTCCCACGGCAATCAAAACCAACCGTAGGAAAATGTGAGTCAAATAGATGCAGTCGTTCTAAATGGAAACATTTTTCACATCATGAAAAATATATTTGAGATACAATAACGGCACGTATAAGTTAGACACCTAGAGCATCTAATGCGCAAGTGTCTCCATGTAGGATTCAAATTTAGATATATATACTTCCCAAATCAATATATATATATATATATATATATATATATATATATAAACTAGCTGGACCGTGGCGCTCCGCTGCCCCTACTAAAGGGATTAACATAGGATATTTCACATAGAAAACAATTAGTATTTAGTTTAAATGCTACTATTTATTGATAGGATTGATATAGGCATTATAGTAGCCTAATTACTGTTCGACTATATATATTTCGAAGTGTAATATATCAGTACTAATACCGTAGCAGCTGGTTAATGTATACGTTATTTGAAACAGCTTGACTTGTCTCAGTAGGATTATCCACTAATATATTTTTTACAATATTCACATGTTTTGCATTAATCGTTCAAAGACCACTAAAATCCTTCTTTCCCATTACCACCTATCTTTATGTCTGTATTCTTATCTGATTTCCCATAATATGGCTGGTATCCCTTCACATTGTAATATTTTTAACGAACATAGATTTAGTCTTCTTCTTAACTCATAGTTGTATCATGTTCTTAACAGTACATACCTTGGTTTTTTAGGAAACCAATTTCAAGTCCCAAGATAGAATTTTGTGGCTATTGAGTAAGTAGTTTCCTCTATACATCCTCCAAATAATATTTTTATTAATATCCGTTTGATCAACTAAACTTAATTTCTCAAGTAATGTACACATTTTGTTTTCAGGTCAGCTATGATGATAACCCACCACAGATTTCAGATTATTATAACTTTTAATCTACCATTTGCATTTCGCTTCTGGATATCTCCAAATTATTGCAGATGCATACTTTTATATAATTCATCAAGTGGTGGTAGAATTATTAAAATTAAAAAAAATTCATAAACTGAAATGCTTTTTTTAATGTAAAAAATATAATGTCAAAATTTTTTCATTTTACACAAATTTTATTCCAATGTGTATGAATATGACAAAGGAGAGATGGAAAGCAGTAGGCGTTAGCGGAATTACTGAACTGGTGGCTATTATAATTACTGATAATAATGTACTGATAATAGGACAAAAAATTATGAGTCCAAAATTTCTGATTTTGACCAAATTTTACTTCCTGGTCATTTAAGATTGGATGTGTACTTATCTTAGTATCATACATACTTTTATGAACAGATATATTCAAGATATTCAGATATGTGCATAGCTCGGGTGATGCTATAACTCTTGGTCGTCGTGGAATTTTGATTTATTTTGCATATCTTACTTTCTTGGGATAGCATGACTGACTGCAAAAATTCTCAGTAAAATCTGTTGGGCGGTTTTTGACTAATCAAACAAAAAATGTTATTTTCGCTGTAAGTTAATTTTTTTAAGTGCAGTGAGTGCATTTTTACCAATCGCACTACGCTCATATTTTGTATGGATGATGTGTATTTACACCTACGTTATTCACACAAATTATTAAGACGGCATCTATTACCGTTCTAAAGATATACGCATACTGCATGTACAGAAATTTTATGGTATGTTCACATTTGATGATATAAATCTGCATCCACGCGGATTTTTAGGAGTTTATATAGCCTATGTTCTTTCAGGACACGTCATGACATACTGTGTAAATCTCATTAACATACAAACAATACATATATACATACATAGTTCAGCGGGTTTTGCGTCTTTTTTATTTGTAACATTTTCACATTCAAACAATACATAAATACATATATACATACATAGATAGTTTTTTCGAGGCAATGACAATCCAATTAATTGTAGAAAATTAACATATTTTGAGAATTTTCCATAATTGACAATTACTCAAAGAAATACGCTGCCCATTTTCGCCCAAAATATCTCCAAAAATGTGTAGAAATGCTAATATCTTTCAAAATATATTTTGCAACATTTTCGCGGATTTTTCTCAAAATGTTCATTAAAACCTTTCCACTTCAATTACAGACTACTAACAGAAACTTTAAGTCAAATCGGTCCAACCGTTTCTTAAAAATAATTTTTGCAAGATTTCCGCGGATTTTTTTCAATTTTTTTTTTCGTAAAAACCTTCACACTGTAATTACCGACAACTGAAAGAAATTTTGAGTCCAATCGGTCCCGCCGTTCTCAATTGATGCTCCATTTTTATATATGTACATATATAGATTGCATGTATGTTCGTGATCGCTAAACGCAAGAAACTATATAGCGCGCCATGTGTCGGACGAACTTAAAATTAAACAGAAACACTCCTCACGCCCCATAGAGCATATACATAAAGTATGGTTAAAATCAGTGTAGTAGTTCTTGAGTTATGGTGCAAAAACACAAAAAAAAACTAAATATTACGCCATCTGTCGGATGAACTTCAAACTACACAGAAACACTCCTCATGCCCCATAGAGGCTGTATATTCAATTTGGTAAAAATCGGGGCAGTAGTTTTTGAGTTTAGCGATCACGAACATAGACGTTACTTTTATATATATAGAGATATATGACACTAAAAAGATTTTTCTATAGTGTGAAGTTCCGGTGGTTGTGCTCGCCATTATAAAACTCTGATTTTTGACTCCCCTAATCAATTTTTGACATGTTTCGATGTATATTTGTGGTTATTGTCAAGCTGCAATACCCTAAAAAGCGGTTTATTTTCTTCAACGTAGGGAACCATTGCATTTTTCAACATATTTGTATGAGCAATCCGATCCATTACTTCATAAATCTCTTAAATATATCCAACACCATAAAAAACATCCCAATACCCTTATTTACCCGCCTCCATGCTTCGCAGTACCTTGCAATCCTGAGACTTGTGCCTTAAATTTTTGAAGGTGATTTTTTTTGTCTAAACCTTTTATATTAAACTTTAATTCATCTAAATCTGAATCCATTTTCACCAATTTCAATTATCCCAAATAAATAAGCTGTGTCAAATTTTATCTCATTTGGATCCTATATGTTTGTTTGTTTACATTTTTATATCAACGGAGGGGCGGAAATGCATAAATGGGCATATTCTCAAAAGGAAACATGTGTATATCTCGTTTCTTTTTTTCCTATTACAAGCATATTCATAAATACATAATACCCTGTACCTTTCGTTACGATATCCAAAATGTCGATTCAATCGGACGACACATGGGAGTTTGTTGAACTTTTTACTTCATGCAAACATATCAGCTTTAAATTTTAGTTGATTTGATTTCATCAGTCAATCCATATAGAATCAACAGTAATATACATAATTAGTACAGAACAAATTAATATTCCATACTCTCCAGTTTATATAAAGGGGCTATAGCTGTTTTAATCGCTTAGCATTGCTATCTCAACAGAGCAAATCCATAAATAAAATTTTAATATGGTCGATCTGATACGTTGTACACATTTCAATCGGACTATTGTACATTTGTTCGAATCCAATTCGAATCATTCATGAGACTGACTACATTAATACATTGACAGACATACATAACAAGTTCGGACAGACCGATTTTCAGTAATTACATTTGTGGGTATGGTGATTGGTTTTGATATAATTCACATGTGTCGGTACCCTTCTATTTGTAATATTCCCACTCTCCATTACAAATTAATAAAACAACTATCACATATATATTTTAACAAATACTATAATTACTTTATTGAGATTGTTCTACTTTGGGATGATAACCGTAATCATCGGCGGTGTAGGTAACCTTAACGTGTTTGCCATCCTTGCTGACGTATTCGTATTCACCCTTGACAATCCAAACTTTTTCACCCTCCAAATGACCTTCTTGGATGGCACGGATTTTGTTGGTCAATTCAAAGCCATATTTGAAGTCTTCGGTGTTAACTTCACTGAATTCTTTAATGATATCAGCTTCTTCGTTGGCGATGGCAACGGCAAAAAGGCAGGCAAGGACAACAATCTGCAAAATATATTTTCGTTTGAAATAAGAGCATATTATAAGGAAATTATTTGACTCACAGTGAATTTCATTTTGATGTAGTTTTAATTGTGCTCTAAAAATTGAACTGATTTGCTGAAGATTGCATCTTGCATTTATATGGAGAAATTATTTGATAGTTCTAGTTTCTTATGATATAAAATGCAAGCATGTGCAAGCAATTAACTAGATTTATAAAATAGTTTTAAAAATTAGTTCAAAATAACGACGATTCCAGTTTATTATGACTGAGTTTTAAATATAGTTTTATGTCCCCTTACCAGTAACATAATTTATATCTTTCAATTTGCGGGAAATTTTGCATAGTGTACCGAATTAAGTCTAGAATGACGTGTGTCAAGCTAGATATATGTGCTAAAAATTATTAATATTGACTCAATTTTGACATTCTAGGGATTTTGGGCACGTTTTTCCATCGAATTGGCTGTAATTTGGTATTTTGGGTTCTCATTGAATAACACATATCCGTAATTATTAATATTGGCCCAAGTTTCATGGTACCCCCAGTACCCGGTATTTTGGTGACTTTGGATACGCTTTTCCACCGAATAGGCTGTAATCAAGTAATTTGGGTTCACATTGTATAGCACACTTTCATACTAAAAACTTTAATATTGACCCACGGGTAGCACCCATAATATGGTACCTTCCAATATGGAGATTTTTGATACGTTTTTCAATCAAATTGTCTGTACGGTAGCCACACAATTAGATATTTTGAAATGTTCAACCATCTTTTCCTCACATATTTTTCGGTATGTTCAAGGTTCTATCATAACATGACTTTTCTCCTAGGAGCCCCCATTAATTTTAGATATTTTGATTGTCATCCTCAGGTTGGAGGGTATAAAAAGTTCAGCCGGGCCGAACTTTACTAGTTTGCGTACGGTATATCCACGAAAGTGTACTTTCTCTTAAGTTTTTATTGAATTCCGGGATTTTCTAATCAATTTTGTTTTGGGACTAATTTCAATTTTTAATTCGAAGAAAATAAATAACCTATGTATGTCAAATAAATTTAATTCAAAGCAATTTCTTTTTGTGTTATTATATAATAATCCGTGGGGTTACATAAATTTAATGTGTACGACAGGGCGGTCAGCGTGCGAAAACTCAGAGCATGGAAACATATAAAAAGTAAAGTCAACATGTATAAGTTTTATGTACTTGTGTAATATGGCACATATTTTAATTAATATTCATGCACATGGTATTCTAAGTAGACAATTCCTCACATTGTGCACTAATATATTGACTTTCTCTCTCTCAAAAAAAGCACTAAAGGGTTTTATGTATTAAGTTAGTTTATCGGTTGTTATCTTTTCTTAAAAATTCAAACCTTCCATTTACTGGATTTAAAAAAAAAGATTTTCAAGGTCAACTAAATTAATAAACAGTAACTGAATCCGTCGACAAAAGACAAGTTTCTGATGAACACACCTCCTCAAGCTATCGAATTAATTTTGTCGACTACCCGACCGCACAACTTTTGGTTATACTTGAATATGGCTGAATGTATGGTCGTTTTAATTCAAAGAGCGCGAATGCCCATAAATCATATTGATTTATAAAATATGCAAGATGATAATTAAAACATCTCATCATTGATGTATTTAACAGAGCATAAATATTAACATGTATTATTTTAGTTTGTTTTCTTCTATGATAACAAGTTCTGCTTATTTTCATAAAACATAAATAAAATCCCCGCAAACACTACAAACGTGGAGGCATATAGTTTGTTCGTGGTTCTAATTATTTGTCGCTAAATATTTGCAATAAAGCCACAATGTTGTCACAATCATATTTTCGGTAATCAACGTCTTATAACCGTTTGGTATTAAAACAAATCTGGATATTTTGAACAGGTTTTAACAATTATATTCGGTATATTAAAAGTGTGCCAGTAATGTTTATCGAAATGCTAGAGTTTTCACACTAACATCAGTTTAACTGGAATTATTTCTGGATACTTCTTTCCATTAAATTTTAGCTCTTTTGCACAAATGAATAACACATAAGTAAAAACCATGTTAAGTCGGGCCCGGCGAACATTTTATACCCTCCACCATGAGGACAATCAAAATATCTAAAAGTAATGGGGACTCCTAACAGAAAATTCATGACCTTGAACATACCGAATACACGTGAGAAAAAGATGATCTAACAGTGGGGTTATCGTTATATGGTGGTTATAATAAAACGAAGATCAACATTGATCATTTTTGGTTGTAAAATTTGACAACCAATCAGAATACAAAACACCAAAGTACATCCAACTCGCTTGAGAAACATGTCCAAAATAATCAAAATAACTACTTGGGTCAATATTAATAATTTTTAGTGCGGAAACCCAAATCTTAAAAGTTAAAAACCGGAGGCTTTACAACTGATAGTATAAAGTTCTACAAAAGAGAATTGTAAAAAATTAATTATTTACGATTTATTGGTTTGGTTTTGCCTCTGAAAGTGACTGCCGAAGTGCCAATATTCTAAATTATATTAAATAACGGAACCTCTTTGTTAAGATAAAGCCATTGTAAATTGTTTTAGAAAATTAAATTACTGGCACAAAGGTTACAAATCTTCAACATTGCAAAACTTATTCGGAATGCGGATAAAATCCTCGAAATACCCAAAATTGGGCGGGATTTTTATATGGGACTATTTCTAAACCTTGAAGTGCTAAATTAGAGCCCTTTTCGGAAGGAAAATGCGGACTAAATAGTATAAGAAAGTACCAACAATTTGGCGGGACCTTTACATAAGGGCAGTTTAAAACATAGGCTTATAATGATAATTTTCTCCCCTAACGTATACCAGCCTTCACAACCCCGGAATGCCAAGTAAGAGCAAAATACCGAAATTTAGATGGGGCTTTGTCAAAACATCGACCTATAATGAGAATTTTTGTACGCAGATGTATACCAGCCTCCAAAACCCTTAAATGCGAAAATTATTGTATTTTGCGTTGGTAAATGGGGCTATAACCCTTAAATCATTGGCCGGTATTATTATTATTGAAAATTGGGAGGCACCGTTGTATGGGAGGTATACCAAATGGTGCACCGATATACCACATTTCCAATACTATTTTAGGAGTAATATGCCAAAAAAAATGCCATTCCAAGATTTCAAAACTCAATCTTAAATATTGCGATCTCTATCGTGATTTCAACATGGCAACATACAGTAGTGGACATTCGTTTGAGCACATATGATGTTTTTGAGATTTTACTATGGAAACACATTATTATTATATATGATTTTAAACAAAATTGTGAATTTAGGGAGCAATTCAAAAAAGAAAAATAAAACCAGTAAGGAAAGTAGTAAAGTCGGACTGGGCCGACTATATGATACCCTTCACCACTTTGGGTATATTCTACATATGTATCTTAAAATACGTCGCCTTTTCGAAGAAACATTGACATAAAATTGAACGAACTTAAATATGTGATCTTTATCTATATCTAAACGGACTAACATCAATCCCTACACATCAATCCCTCGATTTAAAGCAAACTTGACACACGCTATTCGGTATACTGCACAGTTTAAAATTTAATCTCATGCAAACACCCATTGATTACTTGGTGTACAATAAACATGAATAAGTCAAAATTATATGGAAGCTATGCTATATCTATATCTGAACCGATTTCAGGGAAACTTGCCAGATATTCATATATATTAACTTCAGTACATTGTGTCAATCGGCCTAACTAGGGGTCTTTAGTGCACAATATACTTAAAGTCGGACGAAAATATATATAGGAGGTGTTTGTAAATCTGATCCGATTTTCACGAAACTTTACACACATCATTATAGACGTAATTCAGTACGCTATACCAAAATCGAAAGATATAGAGGGCTTTGGTGCAACATTTACATGTACTATTTACCTAAAATCGATCGAATCTATATATAGGAGCTATATCTAAATTTGCACCGATTTTCACGAAGCATAACACACGTCATTCTAGAATTAATACAGTACGCTATGCGAAAGTTCGTGCAAATATAATGATTTTCAGGGACTTTGGTGCACCATTTACTTAAAATCGGACGAAATTATATATGGGAGCTATATCTAAATCTGAACCGATTTTCTCCAATTTCAATAGGGCTCGTCCTTGGGTCAAACCAATGGACTGTGCCAAATTTCATCCAATTCGGATCGTAAATGCGGGTTCGATTAAGCTATTATATGGTACGGAGATAAATATCATCAATTCTATGAGGAAATATTGACATTCTAAACAAAAATTGAAAAATTAATGAATCATTCAGAGGGTCTAAAGGGTCCCATCATGCCGTACAGCATTTATCATAGTATGTGTTATTTTTTGAAAGTTTATTTATGTATGTGTGACACACACAATGCATGAAGAAAATCAAAATAGTTTTGATTTTGAAAATGAAACCCTTTCAATCTGGTGAATAATATTCATTTTGAAAGTTGTCAGTAAATAATTTTGTGTACAAAAAAAAAAATAAAATTGTGACGGAATAAAAAACAACTGAATTTACGACTCAAAATGCAATTTTTGGGTCAAAAATCGATTTTTTGGAATAGTGATTGAAGAGTTTGCCATACACTAGTCAGTCTCACATATACAAAAAGGGGTTCATCGGCATGACGGCATGATTTATAGTGTATGGGGCCCTTAAAAAAGGAAAATTTGAGGTGTAAAACCGTCAACAAAGGAAAATTTCTATTCTACTTTAAGTGATAAAGCACGAATTCGAAAGAAACCAGCTAAAAATCGATATTCCAACAACAAAAATAGTTTCTATGGACAAACTCTTATAGTTGAAACATACACGAACATTAAAAAAAACATGTGGTAAGAATTTCTGGGGGGAAGTCATATGGTATGGGGTGCATACTCGTACGAATGTAAGCTTCCACTTTGTGATACGATCACAAAAAAAAAAAAAAAAAATCTGAAATGTATAATTAATTATTAGACTTTGTTTTAATTTTTCACCAGGAAACGGTTCCTTCTAGCCTCGAAGCTAACAAAAACTTGGTTTT